TAAATTGAAAGAGAGGTGGGCGCATCGAAGCTTATAGGCTGTTGCACACATGTACGTTTCTTTTACGCATTCCATCGGCTCCATTCTTTCCTGCCTTTGAGCTGCTCGTTATATGACGCAACACGGGAGGAATGCGGCTTAACTATGCGTTTTCTGCTTAACGTAAAGGTAAAAGCGGACGGATGGTCGTAAAATGTTGCACAGGGGCGAAATTGTTGACGATAAAACGGCTCTGGGAAATCTGGCTAATTTTTCAAGATTATCTTATCGCGCTCGACCTATCGGGAACAAAATTAATCGATGTTTCGGTGAGTTAACGCGTGTTATATCATCAAATGTTCGTTATGGCTATCCTTTATTTTTTATCTCCATTTTTTTTTAATTGAAACCGAGCGCCGAAACGTTATGAATTAAACAGAATGAAATGGGCGTGTTGCAACGCGCCGCGGAGAATTTTTCTTTTTTTTTTTTTTTCTCCTTGCGATAGAAACGAATTTAGAAAAAAAAAGAAAAAGAAAAGAAGAAAAAAACTCCGAATGAAATAACGAAACGTACGCCTTCTTCTCTGTTTCTTACAAATTACCGCGTGAAATGGGATAGCCTAATTAGATTCGACCTTCCGCCACTTTTCCATTCGCTGTCTTCTTGGAGCCACATGCTTCTGCTTCTGCTTCTGAACATAAAAGGAGTTAAAGCGTTTTAAAGCGCATCGCGAATGAATGAAGGAACGCTCGGGCACAGTGGCAGAGAGAAAATGCAGAGTATATTTAGGAGGTTACAAAATGTTAACCGGGAGATAAAGCCGCGCGCACGTACATACATACATACGTGATGTACATGCATCAAATAGCTACGTGTTCGAATCATTTTTTCCGAACTTTTGTTTCGCGGGAGACCTGTTCCGCGAAACGTCCTCCAAATAAAACAAACTCCTCGGCTGATATTTTATACAACCTAAGCCGAACACAGCAGAGAAGTGTCCGTATTTGCGCGCTCTCCTTTTTAAATCCTCAAATATGCACATACTTGTTTCGTTCGTGCTAAACAAGTGTAGAAATTTAGAGGGAACGTCCGATGACTCTAAATAACTCTTCTTTCCTCGAGTAGCTGAAAGACCGAAATAGACATACGTATAATTATGGACTAACGGTTCGGTTAGCCCTAGCTCATTAACATTTTCAAAGTAACCTGCGCGCTTTGCGGTGAACGGTGTCGTCGCCGAAACGCAACCGGGCTGACCCGGTTTTTATCATGATATTTGGACAGGATTACGGCCGTCAACATGTTCCTTTAATCTACGTTTAACGACGTATAGTTACACGTGTGCATGACGCGCGAACACGTCGTGAAACTGCACGTTTGAAACCGTACCGGTCCTAGGGTTTCAAAACCCGACTGAGTGAGACCAGGGAAAACTAAATCGGAACGCGCAGTTTACTTCAAATATTTGCCCCTCTCGATGACCGTCGCTCGTGGTTAATTATTTTTCACCGACCAGCGACCAGATTTCCAACCGAACGGGGGAAAAGGACGAAAATATATTTCTCGTTGAAACGCCTGTTAAAACGTAACGCGATTAATTTGAATCCGTGACGTCATAATTCGCTGATGGGTCGAACGAATTGATGGAAACTGATTTGATATCGTCGTACAGACCGGAACTCGCAGGGATTTCAACGCGCGGGGAAATCCTGTTGAAATTTTCGATGGTTATTTGGACAGATGCTTGACAAAAATTTCATTCGTCTCGTGTGCGATTTGCATCTATCTGCACAATGGCTGATGATTGGCACAATCACTGTTGCCAAACGACATTAATGACATTAAAGATGGAAATTCATTTGGCGTCGGTTCGATTATTTCGTTATATCTTTTTATCGCAGTAACCAGAGCCTACTTTTCGAAAAAAAAAGAAAGAAAAAGAAACGTCGTCGAACGTTCGATTAGATGATAAGCTGCGTGAAATAAATAAGTCAATTGGGGATTAAATTGATAAAGATATACACGCAACGTCGAATTCCAAGAAGCAAAAATATTTCGAACAAACAACGAACTTATCCATCCGTAGCTTTCCTCTGACGAAAGTCAAACTGCACTTAACTCAAATCGAAGATTATTCTTCGCTGAGTCGCGTCCAGGTTTAAAGCTTCCGCAAAGACAAACTCGAGTAGAAATGTAGTCCGCGTTCGAGCAAATTTGTCACGTAGAACGGAAGCTTAACGCCACTGGAACATCAATGGAATGTCAGAACAGAAAAGCGCGGCGCAAAGTAGAAAAAGCTCCGCCGGGGTGTAATAGGGTCACGGCGGAGCCTGCAAGTGAAAGCAACAATGCTAATCTCGTTGGGGAAGTCAACATACTGTCTTGTATCACTGTGTGGCTCGTGTAAACTGATAAAGTACCGAACTAGAGAAACGGGGTGAAAGCACGATGGACTCGACGCTCGGCGACACAAACTGTGTGGCTGCTGCGCCTTGCTATTCAAAGGGCCCACTCGCAATGCAGAAGTTGCCTACCGGTGCCTATTCTTTTAGGCGACGTCTCGTATCTACCTGCTCGTATCTAGCCATTTGTCCCCGCGTGCGACATCGTGCCTGCTCGGAATCTCGAGTTCCGCGGCCAACATTCGTCAATGATAATGGCACGACGAGAATGGCACGGAGAAACGCGGGAACTCCTGAAGGTCCATTCCATTCTGACAGGGCACAATGCCAGGGCACATACCAAACGGTACTCGACCGAACAGGTCAAAGTGTTTCACGGAGGACCTGATACTTCTAAATGGGAACGTCTCGTAGAGCTTGAAAAAAAGACGAACGAAACTGGTCGCGATGCCCGCATTTTCCATTTTTCAGCGTATTTCAGTGAAGAATTAATCAAAGTGTCAAGCGTTAAAGTATAAAGTATTAAGCAATATATTTGGTATTGTAAAGTATATTGGTATTAAGTAAGAAATATCCGAAACTGTGATAAAAGGTAAAAAGATTCTCGAGGATTACTAGAGTGTCTGACTCGTACGGTTTCGATCCACTGTCTTACCTAAACTTCATGTACTCTGTTTCTCTTTTTTTCACTAGGTAATCATGTAACTGAAAGTCAAATGCTATAACTGTACAAACGATATAAATTCACAATCAATTATGGCACAATCGTGTCAATATACTTTTGTATTTTTAAATTCTTAATCTTATCTTTAGACATTGCTCTGTCAGTCTTCCCTTTAACCAAAGATTATACATGAAACCTTTCCTAAGATGATACAGAGAGTGGCACATCTGATAAGGATAATTCCTGAAACGTATTTGCGCATCTACTTTCCATCGCAGCTGATAATCCAATTGTTCATTCGTGATACCATTCGTGATCTAGATGTTTGTTCCCCGATACAATTTAATTAAAGCTGAGACAGATTATCCGGTATTAAACTTTCAAGAAATTGGTGGAAAGACAAACGATATTGCATCAGAAACGCAACGCGAAACTATGATACGTATGCCTTTGATCATTCGCTCGTAGTCATTGTTAGATTCTAGCTACGAATTCCATAGGATTTACCAGTGACGGAAGCGTGGTATTCAATCGAAATCGGCGATAAACATACGGGAGGACACGGTATCGGAAAGCTACGTCGAGCAACAAGTTAAAACGAGGGAAATAGAGTGTGTTGCGATTGTTTCGTCTGGCAAACAACTGACGCGTATCTGCATATAATTCGAAGCGTTGCGAGGAATGCGCGTGTAAGGATTCACATACTTGAACATTATCGAACATTATCGAACATTATGAATTACATTAATGTTCGATCAATGGTTTGGCTCGATTTTTACAATATATATACATATATACAATTTTTACAATAAATACATACATATATATCTTTTATGTCTGACAATATGTACATATTTACAGAATATCATTATCATTTAACAGAATATCAAACTTTTTGCTCCTTCGAGATCACTGTCTTTCGCCAGAAAATTTCAAACCACGATGAAATATGAATTTGTCCACTTAATTCTGTATAAAGTACGTGTCGTTTTGTGAAATACGACGATCAAACACTGTGATTCTTTGACGCCTGCGTTTTCTTTTTTTTTTTTTTACAATTATCGAAGATTAACTCGAGACCCAAGGGGGATATTTAAACGAGGGTAAAAAGTTGGATGAGCTAGAAAAAGAGATAAAAAAAAATTCAACGACACTCAAACAAGCCGGGGGCTACATAATCGTGAGCAATTAAAGCTGCTATCTTGCTTATATTTGTGACTTGAAGAAAGTTAGTTTGAAATTTCTACGGGCCATTTCGCTGGCACAGAAGTCTCGTTTCATAGTCCGGGATACAAAAAGATCAACTCCTGAAAGGAAGCTACTACGAATATTTTCTTAATCCAAAGAAAGCCAAGCTTGTGAAAACTACACAGCTTTCTAACACATAATTACTATCGAATTACCCCAGTCATTTTAGAAAACATCTTTGTTACGGGCTATTCCTCGTCCCTTTCCGCAAGACGTAACATACCCTTATTGTAAGTATGGAACTTGCGTTACCGCAACGAGGAATTTGAAGAAATTTCACCGCACTTCCAAAGGTTTCACGTTACGTTTCGTTTAGCCGCAAGATTATGTGCTTGCTATTGAAGCAAATGATCCGAAATACCGTTTCAATTTCATGCGTTACATTCAGACTAATGCACTTTTTCCATTAAGGCGGATAGAAAAGATCAGAGTGGGGGGAAAAGTTACAACAAATATCGTTGTCATCTGACTGGTCGCGGATGCGCGCGACAATCTTTTAAACAGTTTCCACGGGACGACTGGGGACACAATCAAACCGGAGACAGCGACTGACTCTTAACTTTTCTCAATAAGGTCGAAGAGAAACTGTGCCACTAGAGAAGAAGGTCAAAGGCAGACATGGACATGGGAAGTAATGAGAAATAGACAGAGAGATAAGTATAGAGATAGAGAGAGAGAGAAAGATAGAAGAAGTAGAAACTTACAATCAGCAACTTGATTTTGTTAACCAAAGGGGATGTCGTAAGGAACTTGTTGACGGCCGTGAAAAGTTTCCCTTGTAGCATCGCAGCGCTTTCGGCGTCTCGTTCTTGCGAACATCCGGGCCTGATGTCCGCTTCTCCGGGGCTGGGCAACAACCCCCGGCAGTCTCGCGGGAAATCCCTCTTCTTCAGTCTCCTCGCAGGCCCTCGTGGCTCCTCTTCCCTTCCAGCTGCCGCTTCCTCAAAGATCACGCTTCGCGCGCAAATTACTTCTAAATGCGATTATCTAAGTTTTGTTTCTCGGCAACCGTTTGAAATATCCGTCAAGAGTCGGAGGGCTGGTCGATCGCTTATCGTTCGGGGCACAGGTTCTTGGCCGACGAATGAATTGGAAAGAAACGGATGCTTTGTTTCGCCGTGTTATACGCAAACAGATCTCGATGCTCTAAGAATGCGCGTCGAAAGGCTGTCGAGGTTCTTTGTTTCGCTGGTAGCATAGGAGGCTCGATCAAGGAGGAAGGCTCAAGTTTCAGGTACCATGGAGGATGTACCAGTTCTCCAGTGGAACGAGATCAGTTTCTCGCTGGCAGGAATTGCGGTGTCGGGTTTATTTTGAAAAAATACGCTCGATCGGTCGGCGATTCGATCGAAACGCGCGGGCTGTGGCTTTCGTATGAAACAGCTTTGTCTCGATATACCACTAGCTCGCAAGGTCGAAGGATTCGTGAATGTCGAAGGGTCCTTAGGGTCCCGGCAGTGCCGCGTTCTCGACATGGACTGAAGTCCGGAGCGGGCCGATGGATGCTGCGAGTTGCTCCAGAGGTAGAAGAACGCGCGCGCGAGAGAAAGCCGCGCGTGTCGAAGGGGGAAAGAGACAGAGAGCGAGCGAAGAGGGGAACGGTGAACGAGCGAGGGTGAGAGAAACGGCTAGGAGAGAGGGGTTGATACGTGGAGATCGAGAGGGAGTGTCTATTCAGGAAGGGAGTGAATGGAAGGGAAAAGAGGGTTCACCGAGGGTTGGGTTTCAACAAACGCCACTAGTTGCTGGTAACCCTTGCATGTTTACGCGGATGGTGTTCCAGACCGGTTACCAATTCTTCTTGTCGATGCGTTAATGTCATTTTTATTAGCTGGAATTCGAGGTACGAGTCACATTAACGAGTCCGTCTCTCCGCCATGAATCAAGGACATTTTGTTGAATGACAATCAATAAACATACATACGAAGGCGATGCTTCGTCGAAGTGATTTATTCTCGAATCGAGTGGACGAATAGGAAAAAGAGATTTTCTGTTTTGTTTTGAAACGCGCTGTAATCCTATATTTATGGTTTCCTCTTTTATCTCAATCTCTTTGAATACCGAGCGCCGTAGAGAAACAAAGAAACGAAACAATGGTGTGCGAAAACGATATCCATTGTTCGGATCCATTTCGATCGTAAAAGCTTGATGACAAAAAAGATGATAGAATCTACAAAATTTCTTGCGATTTCATTCCGTCCCGTTGTAAAATCAAATTGATCAAACGTTACGGTCAAAGTCGTCTGCGAGCTATGCAATTTATATGGAAAGCCAATGACTGGCACTTTATATTTAAATGCATGGGGACGCAGCGGCTATTAGATGTATGTATCTATCGGTCTCCGTACCAAAGTACATTGTTTCGATATTTTGGTAAACGAACAGTCCAGGTTAGTTACATCGAATCGAAATTCAATTTATTCGGTATGTTTCGTTAAAAGAGATTTGGTTCAAAATTCCGTTTGAAATTGCTTTGTATCTACAGTAGGGATTACGTATCCGCGATCACGATTGGAAGAGCAACGATTGCAAAAACCACAGGGTTTTTTTTACATCACAATATTTTTAATCGATATTTACCGCTGTACATCTAACTAAACTTACAAAGGAAATGCATCGTATTTTCAACCGCTTTGTATCCACGACTAAAAGTAGAATAAGGACATCGTGAATTTGGATGCTGGATTTGGACCTCATTATTTGTTATAATTAGGTGTCTCGCGTGAATACCGTTTTATGTTATGCTACAACAGGATGCCATTCATTCAGTAGAGGATGCGAGGGTAGATTAATTAAATCCAGTTTGTATTCTGTAAAAATGACACGGTATACGAACAAATTTTAAGTCCCACCCTCATGTTCAACAATATCACGTTCTTCAGCTTCCTACATATTTCAGGTTAAAAACAAATATTTCAACAAACACTACTTCAGAATATAATCTTACTTAAGCCCGATTTAAGATTCATTTAGCGCTTAACTTTGTTTTTTCTTTTTTTTTTTTTTTTTTTAAGAAGAAAGATATAGGTCTTATTCCGGTAAATGATTAACAGTCAACCATGTTAAATTAGGATTATTCTGATGAAATTCTATATCACCCGAAAGTGCTACTTTAAAATTTCCTCGCCGTATCAAAATGTACATGATATTACGAGCATTTGCGTCACCATCTCGAGAAATAATGGATTCTACAAAGTTGCTGCCTTTCGACATTGAATCGTGAACGAACGAAGGACGAAAATTATACAACACGAACAGCAATTATCGTAGTTTGATAATAATTTTATTTCAAACCGATAAATGATCAATTAATATTAAATGAGTAAATACGTGGTTAACGTTAAAGCCTACTGTAAGTACATTTAAGTCAGAAAATTAAGTAGACGCATTTTAAATGGAATAATTTCCACGATTCAGTTAAAAATCTAAACTGCTAAATTAAGTGATTCGATATTTGTTATCTCATCGAGAGTACGGGAAGTGAAAAGTTTGAAAGTGCGGTATTGGTGCTGCCATCTGTCTACACTTCCTTAAACGCAAACCAGTTGTGTATCGACGAAAAGTAACACGTTAACATCCTATTTTATTTCTCGCATATTTATTCGTTATAATAATCTCGCGCAACACATCCACACATTCATCCACGTTGGATAAGTATCGATGATACATCGTTATTTCAAGTTACGAAAATACATATTATATCATAGTTCTATGTAAAAAAAAAAGAAAAAGGAAAAAAACAACTATATCATGCTTCCTATACTAGAGTAGGAAGCGCTATAGATTCTATTTTCGTTTTTGCAATTGTCAAAAGTAGTTTTTCTCGGGGTAATATCACAGATATAGGTACTCGAAGTCATAGGTAATCGGTTAAGTCATGATTCTTTCATAAAGGCCTACGTTCTCGGATATTATCGCAGTTTCGTTACATTTACGACACGATCTACCATCTACCATGTTATCAGTCATCATTAGAACGAACACAATCAAAGTGCAATCTATCGTGACTCCATAATGCTACAGTTCCAAAGTTCAAAAATATCCTATCCGTGATATTAGATCGATTCCCTTTTTAATTATCGTCGCTAACGATAATTAGCAACGATAACAAGAGGCACAATTTTTTTCCGCGTGGACTAGTATACTCACGTGATCTGTTTCATAGCGCTTTGATTAATAAATCGTCGAATCATTGTAATTATCATTGCATGCTGTCCGGAGGACGAAGCGCTAGGGCCAAGACTTGTTGCATCTGTATCCGGACGTCGAGTTTCTTCTCCTCTGGTACTTGTCGAATGATCGGCAATAAGGAGAGCAGAAACATTTTATCGTAGTCATCCTCGTCGTAAGCGACGCGTTGGCTACTGTGCGACGACAAGATATCGTGAATTTCATTATCGAAGGACGTGAACGACGTCTCGCAAAGCTGCTTTGGATAACGGGGGCACATTTTATAGGATGCGCTCGGTTGAAGATATTCCCTGCCGGTCGCAATGGAAGGAGCAGCGTGGGCCAATGGTACATCGTATTCTTCGATTACCGGATTGTCCATTTCGCCCTCGCTTTCCTCAGATTTGCAATTACTTAACGTAGTGCCGGCATTCCTGCAACGTATGGGAATACAGGCGTTCGGCTATAGACCGACTGTTCCGCCGTTTAAATATGAACGATCTTCGCGCACGATTCAAAAGGTACTAACCGTTTGTTCTCCACCGTTGGCATGAGAAACAACAACTGATCGAAATACATGTATTTCTTACGCTTCCGACCAGCTGGCCCCAATTTCTGGGATTTCTGAAGCTTCAGCTCTTTCATGAAATAGTCACGGATATTTCTCCATTTTCCCCGTAAATTTTTCTCTGAAAATTATGGACGAGATAAAGGATCACCGCTCGCGCGATAATAAATAAAATTATTCTTGTCGACGATAATTTTTTATAATTATCTCAAAGAATTTATTTAGAAAATGTAATCAATTGTACTGGGGAAAAATAAACAAAATAGAAATATCTTGTTCTCTCTTTTTTTCATTTTTTTTTTTTTTTACTTAAAATTATACGAGCGAACAATGATCAGTTTTATAAGCGTTGGCAATTTGTACTAATTTTAAACGATTGCAGGTATGGTCACGACAACTCGTGCCAGGGTCGAGTAAGTGCAAGTCGAGGAATCCGGATCGATCGATCGCAAGAGGCTGTATACCTTCTACGTTTCTCTCCTCGTCCGTCAAGCGCGCCCAATTCGGTACCATCACCTGGCAGACCTCGTCCCACGCGGTCATCTTGGCATTACGGTCGTTGTACTCGCTGCGATTCACATCGTAAATCGCCGGCCGTTTCTCGATCTCCTCGATAAATTTCTCCGTATCGAACATGCTCGTCGCGCCAAGGTCAGAATCACCCTCGAGAATTTCCGTTCTTTATCCTTTAGCCTTTCTCTTCTTTTTGTCGTTCAATTACTTCCAATTGGCCGCAACAAAAGAGAGGAGAGAAAGGAACGTAATCATGCGACAAAGAAGAGAAATTGACCGGTACTTGACGATACCGATTACAAAAGGGGGATGACACGGCTCGACGAGAGAGTCGATCGTGTTTCAGTTGCCGAACGAGCAAGATATACGTGTATCGATTCAGATTAAGCCGAGCGTGTGCCACGGTCGCACGATCAATGAGCCCGAACGAAGAGGTTTACGTCGCGCGTGAATACTCGTGCGCCGGTCGACGTCGAAAATCGAGGGGAGACGCGCGAGGACCCGAGGAAAAAGAAATTGGAAAAGAATTTCTTGGACGGAACGTTATGATCCCGCAAGCGATTCGGCTTGTGTATGCTACGCCGTCGCCGGCAGCTTGCGCGTCACTGCGGAGAAACCGTTGTACGGCTGGCTTGGTTTGGCATCATGGCGCTAGGCTGGCGTGCGGTTGCGGTTGCGGAGCGGAATCTATGCCGCTGCTATGCCGCAACGTTGCCAAATCTACCCAGCCAGTCGAGGTTGAAAAGACGACCGAAACCCGCGAGCACGTCGCGATTGCCTCCTTTCCTCAGCGACGTGTCGATGTGTGCGCGACGCGTCCCCGTTGGCCGGCTATCGCCGCCGCACTTCCAATGCGGTGATACTGGCGCGCATCAACCGCACCGGATTTATAATAACGCCGCCAGAGAAACCGGTGATCGGCTGGAACCGGTTGTAGGAGGTAGCCCGATCGATTCGCGCGCCAACGAAACGCGTGGCTCCGTCTTTGCATCTATAAATAGATCGACCTATCAAATCGAAATACATTTACGTAATCCTGTGAGAAACGGAATAACGTTATCGGACGATTGACGAAACATGCGATTGCTCGCATCACCGTGCAGAACGAGAACGCACCGATGATTCCGTGCAGTTTGTCGTACGATTCGGCAAACACTTCGGCATCGTTTCTCGATGAAACACGTATACTTGTAATAGATGGATAACTCGATGGATTGCGTTCCCGTCGTCGTGCGTCGTTCTCGTTGATGCGGAATTCGCCGCAAGTTTCGACGTTGCCAAACGTGCTGCTAGGCGAGTACTTCGAAAGCGTTGCGCGTTGCTACGCGATCGTAGACACCATACTCAACAAGAATGGACGCGGTCGTGCCGCGGCCACGTCGTCGCGTTTGCACCGTGCCGTTATCGACCATGTCCGGTCGTTTGGCAAACGCAGCGAAATCGACGCCGGCTGGTCCCTGAATGAAACGCTATATTCTCTTATCTCGCTGGCGATCTACGATCTCCAGACGTGTTTGCGATCATTTTTATAAACAGATATGTATTAATTAGAATAATATTATATAACAATTGTCCGAAATTGTGCAACATCCCTGCAACTGTGTTTCATGGGATAAGTACACGGTGTCGATAACAACACTCGTTTCTTAGATAGAAGCTAGAATAAAATATAGCAACCGGTTTCATATATTCCTGATCTTGTCAATAAATGATTACATTCGTATTTAACAATAAAACATCGCGAGAAATTGACGCATCGCGCGCAGATGCTCGCTATCCAATAAACGGCAAACTATCAGATGAATATTTGCGCATGATCAAAGACATCACATTGTTTTACAGCTAAATAATCGATGTCAACTAATGACGATGATAATTTCGACAAATATTTAAACAATTGAGTACTGTTTAAAAAATGAATTGAAACAACCTAATATGAAAGACGATATTAAAATATTTTGTGAAAGAGGAATATGTTAAGAAGACAGACTGTATACATTGTGCATGATTAGCATAATAAAATAACATACTATGTAAACAAAGTTAAAAAGTTATCTCACCGTCCTGAGATATTTTGTCAACGTTATGTGCATACACGTTTCTTCAAAATGAATAAAAAAATGTTCAAAGTTCATGGAAACAAATTCTATTATTAGAACCAAAGTAATTAAGAAAAAAAAAAAGAAAAAAGCGAAGAACGACAACGTGTAACGTGATCAAAGAGCAAAAGAACTTCTATAGGTACGAGAAAAAGACAGATTCCACGTAGCAGCTGCAAATATCCCGGGAGGGGACCGCCCAAACACGCGAGTTAAACGATGAAACAGAGATGAAAGATTTTCGAATGGAAGACGGAAAGAGCGCGATGAAAGTCGAATGAGAAAGAGAGATCGATTGAGGGAAGGGCGAAAAGGGGATGAACGAAAAAGGAGTGAGAGAGTATGCGGGGAGAGTTGGACAGAGAGGGAAAATGAAGGAGAGAGAGAGAGAGAGAGAGAGAGAGAGTGAGAGACGTCCAGTTAGTTCAGACAGAGTGTACCTTTAACGCTGTTCGTCCTCCCGGATCCTAGTCAGTCTAGAGCCGGCAACAAGACGGTGTGCATCGGTTTGTTGCTATCGTTTCTCTATCCGACTACAGCTATCGTCCTTTCAGACATATACTTTTTGGTCACGTGTTCAAGTCCAAATTTGATCGATCGTCATGCTGTTCCTTGGAAAGAAATACAAGCTGTTCAGCAGCGAGAATTTCGATGATTTCATGAAAGCGCTCGGTACGTATGAATTTAATAATAAGTAAGTTGCTCCGATAAATTGCACTCTAACGTCTAAGGACATTATTTTGTGGTTTATAATTAAACGTCCAATATCTGTGGCGAAAAGGCGAACTGCAATATAGGAGACGTACTGTATCGTTGCATGAATTTCATCCGACAGATTGTGATATCAAACGTTATTATCGTCGCCGGCTGCTGTGGTAAATAAATCGTAAATGTCACGCTCGAAACGGAATATTTATTAAAAAAACACATAGCATATATATAGCCGAGTATACATATTTTCTCCATTCGATAAGGGAAACATTTTAATAACAATATTAATATTCGAATAATAATACTACGAAACAACTTACAAAGTCGTTCTTGTAGCTATTAATCGATATGTTCCATTGTTTGAATGAACCCATGATATATCTATATTATGAAGGTATTTATTGACGTCGAGGGATTAAACTAAAGCAGAAGTAATAAAATATATCTTGACAAAGCCAGATGAATCTGGCATGCACAATCGATGCTACGAAGTAGCCAGTTCTGTCACCGGAAAATTTAATTCGACCACAGACGAACGATCTCATTTATAATATTAGGGCCGGCAACGTATTGTAATGATAAATAAGATAATCAATTTTAATATGTTGAACTATGCTCCTGTGGCTGTGCAACGACCTGACCTTACGCTTAATTCCCGCCATGTGCCACAGACAGAGTCCGATTGTACTCCAATTTAGCACTTGAATTAATTTACCGGCAAGATTAATAAATCGCAATTGTCAGTCGAATCGTACTAATGTGTGGTACTTGAGTTAACTTAATAAAAATACATTGATCGTGTTGCTTGATAATAGACGAATAAGGGTCTTAAGCGAAGAACAAATGTACATAATAACATTACAAATTACTTATCCGTCACATTGTAAGTGACGACAGTCGTGTAAGCATATCCGCTTTCACGTTTTCACATTCTCATTATATTGCAACCGGTTATTTCATATAGTTACCGGAAATTAAATAAAACCTGCAAGCTCATTCTGATCGACATCGCCCACACGTTAAAGTGTTGACTAATACCAGCAAGGAATATAAATTATTTCTTCCTCGCGCGTGAATCGAGGGAAGCGAAACAATATACTAATGCTCAACGTGTACAAAAATACATGTACTTTTTTTGAAGAATCACGATGATATTTCAGACCATATTTACAGTTACCTTTCAAGAAGTATGAATAATATTGATGGCAATTATATAATTTAATCGCGAAGATAATCACATCAGACATCTTTTGTACGACATTATTCACGCATACGTGTACATATACATATGCAAAATGCGTTAAAAACAAATATCATATAACTGTAATTCGATGCGAGCAAATAAGAGCACGATAGCTTTTTGTTTTTGAAGATAATGCATGCTTGATGCGTTGTAGATATCATAAATAATCGCAAGTTCAAACTTCAATTATTTGATACTTTAATCAAGAAAAACTTGATTGCACTATTTACAATATAAAATGTGATAATAGTATCACTGGCGTTCAGTTTTGCTTTTACTTTCATTGACAACGTATCGTGCTCTTTCGTTGAATAAGTAAAATGAATCCATCCGTTTTGGGAAACCGATATAAACTACAATCGAGTGAAAATTTTGACGACTACATGAAGGCTTTCGGTAAGCCTTGCATTTAACGGAAATTTATTTCACGAAACATACTTTAAACTTAATTAGCGATTCAAATATTATAATTCAACATCTGCGTTCGATTTTGTATCAATTTGCAGGAAGTTGCTTTTCTGAACGATCGAGTTTTTCTTTTTGTTTTTATTTGTTTTTTTCTTTTTTTAGGTGTAGGTTTAATGACACGTAAAATGGGCAGCAGCCTAAGTCCCGTGGTTGAATTAACGGAGAACAATGGAGTCTATACATTGAAAACATCTAGTGCATTCAAGAATTCGGAAATAAAATTCAAACTTAATCAAGAATTTGATGAAGAAACGATAGACGGAAGACAAGTGAAAAGCGTCTGCACTTTAGAGGGAAATAAACTTATTCAAATACAAAAGGGAGAGAAGGAAACTACTATTGAAAGAGAATTTACGCCGACAGAAATGAAAGCGGTATGTATGTCCTGAAAAAAAAAACATATTTGCGCACCACGCCTTACTAGAAGAAAAGATCCGTTTCTAGTCTTTATCAGCAACCTCTGTACCTTAATACTTTACTTATTATCTCGTAAACGTTAAATCTAATAAAAAACTATAGTCATAATAAATTACGTAATCTCGATCATTAAGAAATTAGAAGTTCAGTGTTTCAATTGAATTACATTTTATGCAATGGAAGTTCTGTAAGGTTGAACGACACAACAAAAGATAACAGAGCGAATATCTGATAATAATGTCTGTCATTGGTCAAAAGGTCCGCCAATTACCGCGTGCTCTTCGTGACTCGAACAATGTAATAAGTTCAATAATAGAGTTAATAATAATCGTTTCACAGCCTTGAAAGGCATTTTAAAAAGTATAGAAATACATTGAAACCTGTTCGATGAAAACAATTTATTATGTGTGTGTGTGTATTTTTAATCGAAATAAAAGGAATAAATATTTTTTGTTTCAGATCATGAAAGTTGATGATATCGTATGTACAAGAGTGTACAAAGTTCAAGAATAAAAATTTTATTTGAAGAAATATTTAACGTCCCTCAATGAAAAATTGATTAACAATGTTGAAAGTTGTTCTCGCCTAGTTAAGGGACAATATATTGTTCTCATAAATGTTAAACAATAGAGAAATATAAACTTTTTTACACGCACAATAACACATATGTACGCATAAACATTGCTAATATTATTTTCAAAGGACATAAAATTTCGTAATATAATACATGAATATATCGCTTTATATTCATATATGTAAAACGAACATTATTATGCAACATTTTAAAAGTACTGAAAATACTTTCTATATTTTTTATGTATCTTTAAATCATCCATATGCTTCCATATGTTATATTTATTACGGATATAACGAACGGACATAAAGAATAAATTTGAACATCTTTGTATCAAAATTCATTTTTTATATAAATGGAAACGAATACAATGAATGGAAAGCTTTAATTATAAACAATTTAAAATAAAATAAAAAAATTTTGAAACTTTCCTGATTAGTATTTACAACCTCACTGTCTCCTTCATCAAATTAATCTCCTTCATCAGGATCTATTACTGGAGAAATCTGAAAAATTTATATATTTATATCTATATATACATTATATCTCTCAATAAGAGTAAATCGCCCATACATAATATTCTATGTAACACACATGTCCTTCATCAGTTTTAACCATATATTGAAACGACAATAATCCACATGTATCAGTCCTCAAGGAAACTTTATTTGCACATGACAGTGCCTTTATAGCTGGTTTAATATGTGAAAGTTTATAACTTGATGTAGTTGTTGATAGACATTGAAAATTATCAACCAATTCACCATTATGGGGTAATTCAATATGACAGATTCCAGCCAAACCAGCTGTACTGATTCGAAAAAAAGGTGGAGAAGGTGACAAAAGTAGCTGTAATATTACCAAAATATGAAATAATAATGTAAATAATAATGCAATATGTCAGGCATTAAATTATGCTCTACCTCAATCAAATCACTAGTTGTATCAAGTTCTGATAAAATATCTTTTAACAATTCAGTTTGGAGAACTACTTTATTTACGACATTTTCTGGTTCAAGATGAAAATCTAATAATTCATCAGGCGTCTGAGTTTTCAAAGAACAGTCTGTTATAATACCATCTTCTTCTATTAGAATTGATAACGGATGTCCATCACCCTATTGAAACTTTCAATTTATTAATAGCTAGTTCCATCTATGATTTACATATACTGTTACATATACGATTTTAACTATATATACTTCATAGAAAAGATGTAAGGTCACAGAACTTGCATGAGTATTTATATTACTCCAAAACATACAAAGACACTCCACTAATATATCTAAATTTATTCTAAAAATTACATCTTCTTTTAAATCAAACACCTGAAACACATCAACTGCAATGTAAGCACTAGCTTGCATACATTTTGCATCTTCTACTGTTAATTTTAAGCCATTCTTAGTTCCAAAACATGTGGCACTCTGAAGAAAAATAAAAAAACTTTCAAATTAAATCTCACATCTCTGTTAAAAGTTCTGGTTGAATATCTCAATATCATTATACCTCTTGAAAATTAATTGCTTTCAATAATAATACTATGGTTTTAAGATTTCCTAATTTAGCAACTAACTTATAATTTCCTTCAGAATACATGTTCTTTATTTGAAACTTGAAATAATAGCAAACTTTGGAATTGTTTCTCCGTTATATATCGATGAGACAACTTATCTTTGGTAACTGCAGTTAGCCAAACTGCTAAAACATGTTTACAAGTAAATAAGGATCTATCGTTTAACACTTGACATCTGAAAGTGTATTATATAATAATATCTTTCTTATCATAAGAGCCAAGAAAATTAAAAAAAAATTATACCTAAAAGAGGCACAATGACAGTAGTTTATATCTGGAAAAAGCGTATATGTTGCTCCTGATAATCCTTTGACCTGTATTAAATATCTGGCTTTGTTTCTATCACTATGAGGTGGAGCACCAACAGTTTTAGAAGGAAAAATGTAAGTAATACGTTTCCCTTCATACAATTCTAATGCCTTCTCAAATACACCACCAAAAATATTGTACAAATTTAATAGTACATTATCTAAAACTAAAGTCATTAATTATTATGTAAAATGCTATTATGTATTATAATAATCACACAATGTTACGTACATTTCTGTTCTTTTTCAAAACTGTCAGCTGACTCTTTTAGCACTTTATTTACAAATCTTATATATTTTGTGTCATAAGTTTTAGAAACAAGTGTATTTGATTCTGTTTCATTTGCATTCATGAAGGTTGTTTTCTTCAAATATTTTAACAAGAGATAGATTTTTATATAAATTTTTGTGCAAAAAATATAAATAAAAGAAATATTGATAAGTAATAAACTCAAGGTAGTTTTAATATCATTTTACTTTAAACAATTTCAAATATTTAAAAAATAATTTAAAAAAACACCCAACTATCTTCAAGTCATTATTACTTTCTATTTTACCAACCTAAAATATAGATTATTTCCTATACATAATTCTTTAATATGTTGGCATTACTGATAATTCAAAACGTTTTAATTTTAGTAGTTTGTAACGTTTCCAACAGACTATTTGATATTATGTAGTGCTGTGTCAAAAAATTAATTACAAGTGTACAATTGAATGTAATATCAAAATATTAATACTAGTATAAAAATGAGCCAATGTCGAAGACGAGCTAATAATTTCATGGATTCGATAAGTAATTTTCGTAAGAAAACAGATAATGCAGGTGATTGTTTCTTAGTCTCAATCAATTAGTCTATATATTAATTTTGATTGTGATATTAATATACATATTAATTTTTCATCTAACAATAAAATTGCTTTTTTTCAGAATATTCTGATATTGATTCCGATACATTTTCTTCAATGTCTCAGGACAGTTTAATTGAAATTAAAAATAAAAGTATATCTAACGATATTACTTGCAACAATAGAGATTCCATTATTTTAGCTGGCAGCTCTTCAAAGTATTCTTGTGTACAGAATCCATCAATTTTATGTACGTCATCTTCAAATAGTCATGTTGCACCAGATTTAAATAAGCGCATTGACTTATTTCAAATTGGACAGTTATGTAATAAAGTGGATGATACTAAAGAAAATAATAATCCTCAGGATTCTTTAAATAATATATCTAATAAATTATTAAGTCCAATTCAAAAACAAATTGCTGTGTCACAATCTAATACGAATTCCAATGTAAATAATAATATATTAAATGCAAGGTCAATTTTAGATAATACACCTAGCAGAAAATTACCACAACTTGTTTCTTCCATTAGCTGTACAGATATAAATAAAGAAATACTTTATAGAAATTATGAAGATAAACATGTGGATATTGAAACAAACAAATTTGAGACAATGCTTTGTTCATTAGATAATTACTTTAATCAAGTACAAGAAGTTTCACAGACACAACAAATTTTAAAACGTTTGTCTGATAAATTTGTACAGTCACCAGAAAATTTTACTGAGAAACTCTTAACCATCATTGAAGAATCTGTTATACATGATGATGATAATACAAACAATACATCTGCAATAGATTTGAGCAGATTAACAACAGAATTTAAAAAAATGTGTAAATTTATAGAAGATGAAACTGCTCCTGAATGGGCTCCATCTCCACTGCCTACGCCTCCATATTCACAAATTTCTATAAGCCCTGCATGTAATAAATCTATTCACATAAAAAGTGAAAAATTGTGTTCTCCTATAAATACATCTGTACCTGTTACTCCTATTTCTGGTACAGATGTAATTAAAAGAAGATTTTTGGCTAAAATATCAAAATGTAATTCTAATAAGAGTATTGATAATGTAGATAATGTAAGTAGTGCATCTTTTGAACATTGGGAAGATCAATGTAATAAATTATTTCCCAAAGAACAAGAATACTCTACACCTTTACGTAAAAGTTCATCAACGTCTTCTTTATTAAGTATGAGTGAAATCCAAAATATATGTGAGCAACAGATGGCATCATTAAATACGTCTAATGAACTACCTAAAAACAAATCAGAATTTAATTCCTCCCAGTTGGAAGAATTACATGATAAATCAAAAGATAGTTTGTTTAATGATATTTCATATTCTATGAAAAAAAATAAAAGAATAAATCAAAAATCTGATTCAGATAAAGTAATACCTAATAAGTTTACAAATAATTGTGGAATGTTAGATCCAGATGAATTAGAAAAAACACTTATGCAAGATATAGCAGAAAAAAGGAGGAGATGTTTTAATACAGCAAGAATTATCACAGAAATTAATGCAGATCCTGAAATAACAGAGATACAAAAAACAATGAGAATTTTTGCCAATGACAATGAGTCCAATTTATTAAATGATGAAACTAAATTTTTGCAAACTCTAGTATCTTGCAAAAACTATCAAACATATTTAGAAAAACATAAACCTCTTTTAAAGGTACTTCAAAATTCTCCTATAACTGAAAGTAATTTAAAAACACCTGAGAACTCTAATCTAAGGCACGAAGAAACTAAGATTTCCAGAAAAGAAAGTGTAAATATTAAAAAAACAAATAGAAGAAAATATTTTGTAAGTCCAAATGTAAATTCACCATTGGCAAAGAAACAAAATATAGAAAATGAACAGAAAAAAGAAAGTACAAGATCAAAACTTTTCGTGACACCAGGAAAGATTCCCTCAAATAATAATTGTAAAAAGAAAACATATTTTCCTGATATGAACAGTCCTGTAAAGGATACGAAGGTAAGACACATTTTAAAAAGTCCACATGCAGAAGGCTTATATCGGTTGAATTATAATACTATAATGTCACCAGTGGGTATGTATATAAGAGGTACAGATATGCAACTTATAAAAAACGTACGTGCTAAAACAGATCACTTATTACTTACACCTGTAAAACAGGATGTTAAAGCATTAGCAAATAGAAATTCAAGACAAGATATTACACCAAAAGACATAAATAAAATTCAAAGGACAACATCTCTCAAGATTAATTTATCTCCTAAAATAAACACAAATAAAGGGCAGGTAAATATAATGTACCTAAATTTATTTATCATATTAATAAATAATATATTTATTATTTATTAATATTATATATTAATTTATTAATAAAAATATTAATTTATAAAATTATTGATAATTTTTAATTTTGTATTTTTTCATAAGGCACATGCAATAAAAACATCAGAGAATGAGACTACACCTAAAACACATTTTGTACTTCCTAAGGTTTCATATAAACTTCCTTCTCAAGTTAAAGTAGTACGTATTTTTATATACTGTTTTTCTATTTTGGAAATATATTAATTCATTATACATATTTATAGATAAAACAAAATAATTCATCTAAGCAAGGAACCCGTGTCGGGAAATTACTTGAAACTGCTCAAAGTAAAGTTGTCATCCGACATGAAGGTATTATTATATCTGATTACAGAAGAATCTAAGTGCTTATTCTTTTTAATTCGCGTTTATGTATTTAAAAAATATTTTCAGGCCGAATAAATTCAGTACAAAGAAAAAAAAGTTCCACAGATAATGGAATATATAAAATTAATTATGAACCAGAAGATGAATCCATACATATTGAAGCAGCAGCCAGAAAAACGAATTTTATAAACAAGAAAAATATTTAAATTTATTTAAAAATATTTAAATTTTTATTTACAATAAAATATATTTCACATTTTATTATAAGTAATTTAAGCATTGGTAAAAGGCAATAAAATATAATCTCGTTTAATTTCAAATTGTTTATACATTTCAAAGACGTTTTTAATGAATTTCTATTTTCTATTATCGTGTAAAAATATAAATTTCCTTAATTATATTTCCTAATAGAGTTCGATGAAAGAATAGAAAGAAATTCATTTATTCATTCAATTTTCATTACTCTAATTGCAAATCATTGCACCATTCTTCGCATAAAATTTCTAGAATGAACTCTATTGTAGTAGCATTCTTATCTCTCACTGTTGTGTAACGTGCAAAAGTTACTCATTGGTCTCGTGCTGCACTAGTTCAGGGACGTAAATTGTATTTGTCTATCCCCCTATGAGTAATTCTATTTAATAGCGTTTAAAATTAAAATTGTATTTATTTCTAACAATAGAATTATCATAGTTTAAAGTTCTCTGTTCTTTTTACTAATCAATTGTAAAATTTATATTACAATATACTGTTATATAAGGTATGATGAAAAACTTCAATATACATGGAATTAAATAGCACTAACTATTAACATTTTTGAGGAAGGTAACAGTTGCAAATATGATACAAAAATATACAAAACTTATAAAAATATATGAGTTCACAAGTTTAACACAAGGAACTAGCGTGAATTAATACACTCCTGATTTGCGCATGGCACGCATGCCACACGTCGCTAGTTGCACACGCCGTAAAGATGCGTTAGTATAAGAGCGCTGATGGTAGGAGATGATCGATAAATTCGAACGAATACGCCGGAACTGACAAGTGATCATTCAGCTTTCAAGCTATTCGAAGCAACTACTTTGAAACGAAAATGCCGGGACCAGGTTGCGACAAGTGCTCAGGTAAGAATTATTTCTATTTCTAAGAAATTATTTCTTCATGTAACATGATAATCTCATGCAATTATGATGCACGTAATTCACTAAATGTGAAATTTTTGGTAATTCTAGTACTTGTATTTGAGTTTACTTCTATCACTTGTATTTGAGTTTACTGATACTTTACTAATATGTTATTAATACTTTCGATATGCATTTTTAATATTTTACTACATGTATATTTGTAACTTATTCATTTATAATGTTTTTTTACTTATAATTATTACCAATTTTTTTGTACTTGATCTGTTTTTTAATGCAACCAAGTTTTTGTTTTTAACCATTCTTTAAAATTTTGCAATATCAAAGCAGTTTGTTTTATGCGAAAAATTTCTAGAATTGCGCGGAATTTTCTTGGAATCCTTATAACATGCGGTCAGCTTTATTGGTTTATACAGGAAGTAATAATATAATTTATTCATCAAATGTTATTACGGGCAACGCTCAATTGATGAGTTTGACCAATTTACCGATAGTGAACGTAAATTTCCTCATTAAAATGGTCTGTGACACTTATATATACATTTGTTACTTTGTTTAATAAATAAAATGTTATTTTTTATTGCAGATAAATGCCAACAATGTCAATGTGGCGACAAATGCAAGTGCTGCGATTCTGGATGCGGAGGTAATAAATTTTAGTTTACATTATTTC